ATCCTACTCAGAGTGGAGCATAGCAGAGTTAATAGTTGATGTGAGTCTACATTAATTCATCAAGTCTGCTCAAGTTAGTATTGGGAATAAAAAGTCATTTGAATCAAAATTGTACTCTATGGGCCAGATTTACTAACAGTTTGCGTTAGCACAAACCCTCTTTTGGCGTTAAAAAGGATTTACTAAAGACACGCAGTGAAGAATTGCGTCTGTGTTCTTTAATTTGCGCGTTGTCAGTAGATCACGCGCAGAACTTTACACTCTCGTCAGTGCTTTAATGGGATTGCGCTCTCATGCTAATTTGCCCTGTTTAGTAAATCTGGCCCTATGTCTGTTGGCTCTGACATAATCTATGTAAAGCAGTGTACTCCTAAAAGTTTATGAAATTAGCATAAATATGGATTTCAAATTTACACTGTTTCTTTTACAGGAAACCAAAAATTTATGCTATATCGAAATCTAAAAAAATAAATTGTTGTTTGAGATAAGAATGTATATGTACTACCTGCAAACAACTAGCAACAGAAAGTTGTCAGGAAATAAAATAAAACATTTTATTAAAGTCCTGATAATGAATTAAATGTTAAAAGTTCACAAATCTATATTAAATTAAATTAGTTTTCCTAGTTATGCTCATCAGTTAGAATGCATGCAATGTCTTCAAAAAGGTTTTTTTCTTCAAAAAAAATCTTTATCCAGTCTTTATAAACTTTCATGGAAATCCATGTTTCAATTTGAAATGCATCCACACTGGAAAGACAATTGCATTGACAAATAATTTAATGAGATCTAACACAATTATTTTATCCTTATATTTGGGTTCACTCTCAGGATTTTAAGCAAAAGGGGCCTTTGAAGACCAAAGCTTTGATGTTTCAACTGTCCAATACTATTTTTTAATTTTTTGACGATTTAATGGATGGTTCTGGGTACTTTTCCTTACTTATCTCTTGTCTTGAAATATATAAAAAAATACTAAAATGTTTCTCCATAATGCAGTACAGAACTTTTTTTTGTTGGAATATGGCTATGAATGAAAAATCAAAAGAGTCTGTGAATGTCTATAAACCAGTTGTGTTTATTCACAAGAGGATCAAAAACCAAAAAAGACACCAATAAAATGCATGGTGCACATTAAATTAAAGGATCTGCTTCCATACTAATAGTAGTTTTGCGCACAAAACTCTCGTTCAAGGGCAAGTCAATCCTCTTCAGGCTGAGCACTCATTGAAGAAAAGAAAGCTTTTCTTTTCCTACAGTATAAAACTGACAGGAATCCTATCTTTTAATACCACTATAAGTAGAGGCCTACATTTCTCAAAGCTTTCACATATGCCACAGAAATTTCACAGCACCAGAATTTAAATAGTCTACAGTGACTAATGACTATATGTTATAAATTAAACATTAGGCTACATTTTTATCCTCCCAACACAAGCCTTGTGACCTTTGACCTTTGTTTATATATAAATATATCTAGCAGTTTTTCTGTCACATTCTTTTAACTAGAAGGCGCTTTGAATGAATTGTTGAATAACTCCTTTGAGGACAAGGCATTTGGGCATCTAGACTTTCATTCTTTTGAAGATGGGTTTAAACTCTGTGACCACATGACCCACTTTCTCACTATATGACTAATGTTAAGATTATTATGTTATCTCAGTCCTTAGGCCTACGGCTTCATATTATTATCTGCAATTTGCTTCCAGCTGCTAGATTGAGTTCGTATGGTTAATGCTGCTGTAATTAATCTTTATGTCACTCAGCCTTAAAATTATTATTTTAAATACACCTGACAATCAAGACTACTTTAAACTGGATTGAAAATATGATGTGGACTAGTAAGACTTGTGTTGCCTTCAAGTTACTTTGGAATGATGATTTTTACTAGACTTGCGCACATAAACATTTGTCATTTAAAGAAAAGACTAAGCTAAAAGAAAGCAGTTTATGATACATCATATACAGTATAATATATACCTTACTATATATATATATATATATATATATATATTACTACATTACATTTTTTTGAAGGAAGTCTCTTATGCTCACCAAGGTTGCATTTATTTAATAAAAAATACAGTAAAAACTGTTTTATTACTATTATATACTTTTAAAATGTAATTTATTTATGTGATGGTAAAGCTGAATTTTCAGCATCATTACTCCATGCAGTCTTCAGTGTCACATGATCCTTCAGAATTCGTTCTAATGTGAAGATTTGATGTGCAAGAAATATTTCTATGGAAGCTTGTTTCCGCCACAGAATAAAAACATAAAAAAGGTAATTGCGACTTTTTATCTTAAAATTCAGACTTTTAATCTCAGAATTGCGTGATATAAAGTCATAATTGCGAGTTATGAAGTCAGAATTACATGATATAAACTCGAAATTCTGAGAAAAGAAGTGAATTCTGAATTCCCCTCAGAATTGGACTTGGACCCAATTGGAATTGGACCGCAATTGTACATTTATATCTCACAATTCTGACTTTATAACACGCAATTGCGACTTTATTATCATGCAATTCTGAGAAATGTCAGAATTGCGAGATGTAAACTCGCAATTGTGAGATAAAAAGTAGCAATTATCTTTTAAAATGTTTTATTCTGTAGCAGAAACAAGCTTCCACACATTGATTATAAACAGTTGTAGTGCTATTTAGGGTTCCCTTTCAGTCGGTCACTTTCAACGTTACGTCTCTGTTACTTCCTTCAAGGGAACGAGGGTTACATACCTAACCTAGACGTTTTTGTTAAAACTGTGATTTTTTTTTTCAGAATTCTTTGATGAATAGAAAATTCAAAAGATCAGCATTCATTTGAAATAGAAATCTTTAACATTAAAGCAAAAAACAAACAAACAAAACAAGCACAAAAATAACTGCTGATGTTATCTGCCAATGCATTTCATCAGAACTTTTTTTTTTTACCACAGATGTGATGAGGATTCTTCAGTTATTCATTTACACAGTAGTTGTCATGATCTGCAGTGAGAAGCATTATTCACTGTATAGCAGAATGCAATTTACATCCTCCATCTGGTCTCCACTGCATCTCAGTATCTAACAAACTGCCTGTTCTGAGTCAGATCCACTGCGGCTGTTATCGACATTCTATAGACAACTCAGGATTTTATATATGGAGTGTGTCGACTGAATAAAGGGAACATGTTCAATACCTTTTTTGTGTTATGTCTAGGGCTGTAACGATACGCGATATAAAATCGAAATCGCGATACTCAGGTCCACGATCCTGTATCGCGATGTGGGAAGGCAGAATCGCGATCAAACCCCTTCCAACTCCCAGAGTTATCCTTCCTGTCCTGAACCAGGGCTCGAATTTCGGCGCGGGTATTGCGCATAATTCTAATCATTCCCGCAAATCATTCTTTTAACAACTATCTTCCAGACGCAATTTCACAAACAGCGTGAGTGTTCAGCGGTGCCGCGCGTCTTCTATCTCTTCTCATAATGTGTTGTGTAAGGCAAGCATCAAGCGCTGCGGCGATAATACACACTCGCGTTTAGGAGTCGGGACCATAGACTGTAAGGTCGGGACATGACGGAATATTCACTTGCACAATCGGGCCAGCAGTGCATCGTGACTGAAGTCTTTTTAAGTCTTACCAGTTTAAACATTCAAGCGATTTTAAACTAATCAGTGCTCGCGCGCTCTCTGAGATTATTTTCTATGCGCACATTCATAGAAAATCCGCCTCAAAAACAGCTGGCCAGTAACTATTTTTCGCGGATTATATTGCTTTAACACGCAAAATTGTCAATTTCGGTCTTTGTGAGTAGGCTATACTCTAAATATAGTCGGTTTTGTCTTTAATAAGCATAAAACGCATGCCAATATAATGAACACAGGATCCGTGCACTAGCTCTTAAAGTGACGGAAGCCATATGTGTCTGTCATTAATTTTGTTGTCAAAACAACAAAAGATGGCTTTAAGTTAAAGGAATCAGGTTTAATAGCCTATGTATTTAATTTATTCAGGACTAAAATACTACCCAGTGTTATTTTCCATTTGATTACTTTATTCAGTATCTGTATATGAATACTAGTGTTAGACCTATTCAAAAACTTTTCTCTTTAATTGTCTTTATTTGTATCTTTATTCTATTGTATTTATTTGTGCTACCTTTTTCAATTTAATTAAACAATTTAAATCAAGCTTCCTTGTGATGTGTAAATTCTTAACAACAATATTACCTCATTGCAAAAATGCAATGAGCGCAAACATTTAGGCAAGATAAATGTAATAATTTTGTTTGGAAAAAATGCCCCCCCTTTCTCCCCCTCAAACAAAAAAAATCCCCCCCATGAGAATCATCTAAGGGGGGATTTCCCCCCCATTTTCCAAAACGAAATTCAGGCCCTGAGAACTACCACATCTTTAAATTACTATTAGTATTATTTGAAGTTAACATTATAAAATACGTAGACCTACACCACAAAACTAGTTGAGGATAAATTATTTAAAATTTGGCAATTTCAGCATTATAGACGTGAAATTTGCAGCCAAAACTTGAAATATAAGTTCTCAGAAAGTGCATTAAATTAATCCTCAATTGACCGGCAACACGTCCAACATGCAGATGCATATCCTACGGCACCATCCCGAAATCAATTTAGTTGGAGTACAGAACACAACCCAAAAGCAGCAGCCTACACTGCCTAGTATAGTTTAATAATTTGCATAGTTATTATTGTTCTTTGGTGTTTAGATTATACAGGTTTTTCCTAATGTTATTTAATAAAAATACCGGTATTTTTTTTTCTCTCAAAATCTCTTTTTTTCACCACAAGCCCCGCCCCCTCAAGCCCCGCCCCCGTGATAGAATCGCGATACGAATCGAATCGTGGGTCAAAAATCGTGATACGAATCGAATCGTGGGTTTGGTGTATCGTTACAGCCCTAGTTATGTCTATATTAATAGACAATCTGACACTAGTATTTGTGTGACCTTTATCTTGTTTCTTATCTCCAGATGACCGTATCTAAATATGGTGCTCAATTTCGGGGGAATTCACAGCATGACGCTTTGGAATTCCTGCTCTGGCTTCTGGACCGCCTCCATGAGGACGTCAACTCATCTTCAACCGTGCCCAATGGAAATAACAGAAGCAAATCAACTGGCAAGGTAAGCGCGTCTCTCAGAACCTGCCTAGGGCATGAAACGGCATGAAAGAAGTGAAATGATGCAACATTCAATCTCAAAAATTGAAAATTGAAAAAAATTTCCCCTCATTATATTATTATGCCTCAAACCACAAATCATCACCTGAAAAATCTACAATATGAGAACTCATAATTATTTTACAGATCAATAAGTTAGTAGGAGTTACCAATGGCTCTTCTAAAACCCCATATGGCCAACCAGCTGTTACCTTCACCATTATCATGACTTGGCAAGGTGAGAGAGTCTTGTCTACACGTCCCTGCCACCCGTAAACAACACATCTGTTTATGAAATATGGATATTCGTACCAAGCACCACAGCCTGCATTGAGATAGAGTGGTCTTGTACGTAACCTTGGCATTACCCAGATTAATAGCTTTTCACAGTGGCTGTGATTTTCACAAGGCGATATTCATGGGGACTGAAATTGATTTGAAACCCATTGCATTTTGAAGGTGTGCAATGGTTTCCACTCATCTTGGTAGGGATGGTAAGATTCACCGATTGGCAGATGGCACTTAAGCTATTTTATGATTTGCTGTATGTCTGAATAAAAGAAAGAAAAGTTTTAACTATCTATACCATATTGAATTGCATAGCGCCATCATATTTTGCTCCATTGCATCGTATTACATTGAATCGCATCGCGTTGAATCGAATCGAAATCGGATCGCACCGCATCGTAATAGTAGTGAATCGTATTGCATCGCATCGGTAGCTGCTTATATGTATCTTTAATGTATCGTATCGTTGGCTATGCATCGAGATGCGTATCGCATCGGCCTCAGCTATGGAGATGCACATCCCTACATCTTGGACCTCAAATGAAGCCACATCACCATGGCAGCAAGTTGCAGAACCTTCCGCAATTATTGCCACTCAAGTAGAAACATCCAATATGTAGGCCTACTTTTTTTATAACATTAATCTTAAACTGCATTCAAGAAAAAAAAAAAAAAAAGAAGCAAATTTACTACAGAAAATTAGTTTTCAAACATTGTTATAGCCATTATCACTGCACCATATCTCCAATATTAGTGTTTAAAGAAAGCATAGCACTGATAATGGAGAAGACTGTTTATTTTTTTTTTCAAATAAAGCCACTGATCTTATTTAGAAACAATTTTCAAATAACTAGAGGACGCAGGTATATTTTTCTCCATGCATAGAGGCCAAACATTTCCAAAAATCTACTTTCAAACTATCAAAGCCGCTCTTTGTTCACTGAACATTACAGGAGCTTTGATTGTAGACTGCTTCTTTGGTCAGATGAGGTCTTTTGGCAAAAAACATGAGAGATTGAAAAGAAACTATTCACCACTGTGAAGTACTGAGTTGACGAATTAAAATCAAGAGATCATTTTGACGAAAAAAGTACGATTTTTAAACAGTATACAGGCAGAAGAACAATTCTGCAGGTACGAAAATGTCAAGAGGGCTAATGACAGGAAATATGAACAAATTAAGTGAATTACCTGAATTTACAGTTTTTAAATTTATATGCAGCACAACAAGGCTAAAAGACATGCAATCCATTTTAAAAGCTTTAAAAAAACTTTATGTATTCATATATTTATATTTATAATTATTTAAATCTAAAGTTGACAAGTGACTGTCTTAATGATTATTCAAACTGTTCACTTAATTGATTCGTTCAATATGAATGAGTCGCTGAATCTCAAACGACTGATTCAAAAATACAGATACTTTCAGGAACGAAACAAGTCACCCGCTTCTTTATGAGTGAATCACTGATTCCTTCACTGAATTGGTTTATTAAGAAAAATGGAATGGGCGCTCATGGGTGAAACACCACCACTGTGTGTTGCTCAGAGATGTGCAATGACTTTGCTTTGGCTGAGGGGCCGTTTACACAACACAATTTTAATATGCGTTTTGGCCATTCATTTACAAGACGACGGCGTTTTGGGGGCCTGAAAAAGCAAAATGTTTTAAACTGGTTTCAATGTGCACGTTTTTGAAAACGATACCTTTATTGTATCTGTGTAAACTGCAAAAACACGAATTTGTGAAAACGGTGACATCATGTGCATGAGTATTACGTGTTCAGTCTATAGCAGTGGTTCTCAACCTCTCCTGCAGGGACCCCCTGACACACCATGTTTCTGTTTTAACCCTGAAATGGCACACCTGATTCAATTAATTGAAGGCTTAATGAGTAGTTGACTAATTGATCAATTAACTAATTCCTACTTCCTACTCTAATAATGACTCATTAAGCCTTTAATTAATTGAATCAGGTGTGCCATTTCAGGGTTAAAACAGAAACATGGTGTGTCAGGGGGTCCCTGCAGGAGAGGTTGAGAACCACTGGTCTATAGGCACGTAGTGTTTCTTTAAAAAGTGGCATCGCCAACTACTGGCCTGGCAGCTGTTTTAGTGGTTTTACCGGATCCGTGTTAAAGGAGAACTCCGGTCAATTTTAACATTGAGCTCATTAGTAGTTGATTGTCGAGTTCGCGCGCGCGATCATTAGTTATATTAGTTACCAATGATCGCGCACGCGAACTCGACAATCAACTACTGTGGACTTCGAAAGAAAACAGGAAGTAAATACGGGTATGTGAGCTGGCTGAATAAACATCATTTTTATTCATATTTTTCACATCTACTGCAGTCAGATTGACCGTGGTCACTCTTAATAACACCACTCACATGGCTGTCCACTTGTAATGACAAATCAAGGATGTTAAGAGGCTAAAAGCAGGTTTAGAACTTGCCCCATTGAAGTCAACAGGGTGCGAATTTTAAAAAGAGGATAACACGGTGTAGGCAACACCGATTTTTGTCGTTTTTGTCTGTACTGACAGCACTCCAAATGTACAAAAAAATGAGCTCAATGTTAAAATTGACCGGAGTTCTCCTTTAACGGGGATCGGTTTGACCGTGTTGTCGTCTGTACGCGAGGAACGCAAAGGAAATAATTTTCCATTTTTAGTAGCCTACATCGTTGTCGTGTATCCTTAATTTGACTAGTTTGACATAATCCTTAGTTTAACTATTTGCGCTGATGGAGCAAATGTAACTGGCTATATTTTGTCTAAAATATACACTCACCTAAAGGATTATTAGGAACACCATACTAATACTGTGTTTGACCCGCTTTTGCCTTCAGAACTGCCTTAATTCTACGTGACATTGATTCAACAAGGTGCTGAAAGCATTCTTTAGAAATGTTGGCCCATATTGATAGGATAGCATCTTGCAGTTGATGGAGATTTGTGGGATGCACATCCAGGGCACGAAGCTCCCGTTCCACCACATCCCAAAGATGCTCTATTGGGTTGAGATCTGGTGACTGTGGGGGTCATTTTAGTACAGTGAACTCATTGTCATGTTCAAGAAACTAATTTGAAATGATTCGAGCTTTGTGACATGGTGCATTATCCTGCTGGAAGTAGCCATTAGAGGATGGTACATGGTGGCCATAAAGGGATGGACATGGTCAGAAACAATGCTCAGGTAGGCCGTGGCATTTAAACGATGCCCAATTGGCACTAAGGAGCCTAAAGTGTGCCAAGAAAACATCCCTCACACCATTACACCACCACCACCACCAGCCTGCACAGTGGTAAAAAGGCATGATGGATCCATGTTCTCATTCTGTTTACGCCAAATTCTGACTCTACCATCTGAATGTCTCAACAGAAATCGAGACTCATCAGACCAGGCAACATTTTTCCAGTCTTCAACTGTCCAATTTTGGTGAGCTCTTGCAAATTGTAGCCTCTTTTTCCTATTTGTAGTGGAGATGAGTGGTACCCGGTGGGGTCTTCTGCTGTTGTAGCCCATCCGCCTCAAGGTTGTGCATGTTGTGGCTTCACAAATGCTTTGCTGCATACCTCGGTTGTAACGAGTGGTTATTTCAGTCAAAGTTGCTCTTCTATCAGCTTGAATCAGTCGGCCCATTCTCCTCTGACCTCTAGCATCAACAAGGCATTTTCGCCCACAGGACTGCCACATACTGGATGTTTTTCCCTTTTCACACCATTCTTTGTAAACCCTAGAAATGGTTGTGCGTGAAAATCCCAGTAACTGAGCAGATTGTGAAATACTCAGACCGGCCCGTCTGGCACCAACAACCATGCCACGCTCAAAATTGCTTAAATCACCTTTCTTTCCCATTCTGACATTCAGTTTGGAGTTCAGGAGATTGTCTTGACCAGGACCACACCCCTAAATGCATTGAAGCAACTGCCATGTGATTGGTTGATTAGATAATTGCATTAATGAGAAATTGAACAGGTGTTCCTAATAAACCTTTAGGTGAGTGTAAGTTAAATAAGAATACCCTTCAGGTCTTTAAAATCGTCCCCTGCTTTTTGATCACTGGCCCTGAATGCTACATTCATTAATACATTCAAATTGCATCGTTTAATGAGAGACGTTATTACTTTCTCATTGAATTTCGGGGAAGGGGATGGATAAAAATAGTGAGAAAAAAATTCCACACACAGTTTTCAAACATAATTATTGACAGGACATGTTTTATTGACATGTTTTATAAATGACATTACAGAATTCATATTGAAATGCTGGTGATACGCATTGTGCGCACACTAGCTTAACAATAGCTCAGAAGTGTGACGGCCCACTTTTACTAGCTTTAAATGGCTTTTAGCGCACAAACACCATAATACGCCTACGATTTTCTTCCGTTTGCACCATGCTAATTGTCTCTTTTGGAACTCAACAGTGCCTGAATGGTTATCAGATGTGGTTTGATGTAGTTGGTTTTGTTCGCTAATTAATAATTTGTTTAGAGACACAAATTTGAACCGCTGCTTAGTGATGAACCAAGATTTGAGTCTTTGATTTTCTGTAAAACAACTCATTTAATCTACAGTCTGGTAGCACAGCGGCGTACTGTCTTTAATTGATGATCTTTGTGTGTATGTGTGCGTTTGTGTCACGAGCCGGTTCAGTTCCTCTGGCTACGC